AAAGAAGTAGACTGGAAATCGATTTTGTATTATTTGAATGCAAGAAGTCCCAGAAAGCACCGCGTTTGGGTCTAAGAGTACATGGGTGCACGACTTCAGTTTGGAAAAACGCATGTGGAATGGCCTGTGTCACAGTGACAAAAATACTTTTGACTAAAGATAGTAAAGTTGTATTATATGGTAAGATAAACTGAAAAGATTATGTTTGGCATTCACAGAAATCCGATTACCACCTAAAATCATGAAAAAATTAGCATTGGGCATGCTAGGCTGAGCCTTATGGGGCCCAGCTCATATGAGCTAGTACTTTCTGGCCTGGCGTTTGAGTATAGTATGGTTTTGAGCAAAACTGAGGATGTAGGCATACTTTAGAATACATTACATTCATATTACAGTTGAAAAATTCCTGCTAAAAGGATATTTTAACCAGATAATGACTTGAAACACCCATAAAAGCTCGCTAGGAATTGATTTTTATCGGAAAAGATCGACGTTTTTCCATGGCCAACTGTCCAACTGGATATAAATCTCATCGAAATCTTATGAGGGAATACCAAATACATTATTGCAACTGCAAATCCGTGAACCAGAGCCAAGTTTTAGCAAGTGGTTCATGGATTATCGGCTCAAATCCTATTGAAGCGTTGGCAAGAGATTAATCGACCCATATCCGGCCGGTGCAAGTTCGAAATGAAAACCAAATTGATTAAAAACTAAATATTAAAGCTCAGGAAACATGAAAAACATGAAATATATGTTTTTATTTGAGTTTCGTTGCTTTTTTTAATGTTCTAAAAAACCACTACTATTTCATTGAACAGCATATTTCATGGGTATTCGGCTTATGTCATGTAAAACAAGAAGATGGAACTCAAATGTATGGATATTTCTTCGGTTTTCTATTGCATACAGTCCGTTCTATTTAAAAAGGTATCATTTGTTCAATTTGGATAGCTGGAAGTGTCTCAAAAAGAGTTTTGAAAGTGATGAGGTGCGGCACTACTATTTCATTGAACACAATTGTATATACTCGAAGTTCCATGAGCTTGAAATGTTTCAACTTTCTGACAGAAGAGGGTGGAAAAGGGGCGAGTGGAGCTCCTGTAATCTTTGATGAAATTTTAATTTAAAATAAAACTATAAATTCCTGCTTTGAAGTTGTATGTACATAAAGTGCAGGATTCTTCCGTTTCACTCGTTAGAGGGATGGGGGAGGGAAATAATACTAAAAGCCGAAAAAGATTTCTCTTAATCTTCTAGCAAAATGCCTCCATTTATTCCCACCCTTTGCCCTGCCGTTGTTCCTTTTTTTTCGGTTTTTGTAACTGCTTTTGGTTTTCTATTTTTCGGTTTCCCGCTTTAGCCGCTTTCCAACTTAATTAAGAAATCCAATTAGCATCATTGACATTAGATGTCCTAGAAATATGCGCAATTTGTTTTGTTTCGTTTCGCTTCGGTTCGGTTCGGTCTGCCGTTCCATTGTGGCATGCAGCCACATGGCCCATGACACAGGCACAGACCGCCGACACACAGCCGACACGCATCTGCCGAAAAATAGATTTTCCCTTTTGCATATGTAGACAGGACCGGCTCGACCCGACCCGACCCGTCTCTCGCTCCCTTTCTCTCTGGGGGCATGCCGCCCCATCCAGAGGCACACTCCACTGGCACACACCCACACTCCACACCCTTTACTGCTGACAAGTAGGCGTTGATGTTGCTGTTGACGTTGGTCTCGTGTGTGTCTGTGTGTGCCCCAAACCACCCTACCGCACTCCCTTCCACTCCTCACTTTCCTGCGTTGCGTGTGGGCCCCAAAAATTGTGCGTGTGTGGAGTTCGGGGTAATGGCAAAAGCAGGGAAGAGTGAAGGGGCACGCAGCGGGCAAACAATAACAAACAATTGTGACTCCCGCGCCCATTCTCTCCGCCCTTCTGCGTCTCTCTCTCTCTCTCTCTTGCTGCCTCTTTCGCCTATTCACTGAAAAGTAAGCTATAATTTTTGTGCTTCTCATCATTTCTGTTTTTTTTTCTGGCATCGCAGTCTCTTAGATAATGTTTTCTCTCATTTTTTTGATTGCAAATCAATAAGAAATATGTTACACAACTCTGCCCCAAGGAAGCTCTCTTTTTGTCGCCGACTCTAATTTTGATTGCTTGTTTTTGAGTCTCTTGAGAGACTCAACCAGCCACGCTGCAGCGTGGCTTAGCAGTACGTTTTTTTAATGACTATTGATAACCTTGAAAGGGGAATAATTTTCACCTATGTTAATGTTTTTTCGTTTTTCGTTTTAAGCATTCACAGAGACTTTTTCGCTCTCTATTTCTCTGCCTGGAAAATAGTCTATACTTTCGCCAAAAGTCTTTTTCGCATGAAGCCATGCTATTTTTTGGGCCAAAAAATACTCTGATTCAAATCAGTTGGGACACTTTTACACCATGGCCATGCATGGCAAGGACGTCTTAACCTGCTCTGCAGGCATCTCCTTCCTAATCTCTGAATCGAGTTGCTCCAAAAAGTATGCTATACTTTTGGGAGCTCTCATCATTTCGTGTTTTTATTCCATGAGTGTGATTGCATTTCAATGGTTGGAAAATGGTTTGGGGAAATGCACCCAAGGGATGGCCTATCCACACTTATGCCCTTCTCAAATGCTCCCGAAGCTTAATGAATTTGTCAATTTATGCACATGATCGCCTCGGTGTTGAGCTAACAAACCGCCGGAAATCCCCTGTCAAGTCGTCAGTCGGCATCAGCATCATCCCCACTCATCGGGCTTACAAACAGTTACAAACTACAGACAGGAGCAGGGGCAGTGGCAGAAGCAGGAGCTGGAGTCACGTTCAAGCAAATCTACTTAGCATAAACCAATTCACCCACACACATGCACACAGAGAGACAGCACACACGCACACAGATACAGATACAGAGAGAGCGAGACAAATAGACAGACAGTAGTGCTGAGGGGAAAGCATTCATTACAGGGGAGTGGCACGAACTGGTGGCCCAAGGAAATGTCAACTGACAAACAGCGAAAGCCAAAACTGATTATGGCTTTCCCTTCGAGTGAGCGAGAGAGAGAGAGTCACATTCAATGAGGGACAGACAACATATTCTGCAGTTGCAAATGGACATTAAGACACACATGTGTGAGTTGTACACTCGGAGAAATTTATGTATTTATGTATTTATAAATACAAAATACACAAACTCAGAGACTATAAGAGCTAAAGCTCTCATCTGCCATACTGCAGAATCGGATTCCGATCGGATCATTATTACAGCCAGAATGAAGAAGAGAATTTCCCTCAATTCCTATTCCCTTTCCCTCCCAGCGTGGCTTAGCAGCAGAGGTTTGGGCTTTCAGCTCTGAAAAGTTCAACTCCAAAAAGGCACATACATATGTACATACATACATATATTTGTGTATCTTTTTTCTTGAAGTGCATTGCCCTTCCAGCAGCAGCCAAAGTAAATTTGTTCCCCCCAAACAAAATGAGAAATAAAGTTTAATTTGTAATGAACAAAATAGAGAAATTGCTGGAAAAGACAACAATGAAAATTAAACAACAAAAACAGCAGCAGCAGCATCCCACCGCCTTTAAGGGGAGGGGGTAGAATATGGGGGGATCCCCAGCCGAATTGAAGTAAAAACGTTAAGCCCTTGCCCAGGCGACCAGTCACGTAGTAGTCGGTGCTCCTCCTAAGATGTGCCCAGTGGTGGAGCTCCCTTCGAAAGCAGAATTGAGCTGCTCTTTATAAACAAATATTTGGATTTAGCAACGAGTCCTAGAAGGGGCCAGCACAGCGAGCAAGAGCCCTAGGAGGGGCGCCTATGAAAAGCAATGAAAAAGTAAGGAAGCAAACCAAAAAAAAAAAAAAAAATGGTATTTCCAAGCAGAATTTTAGGCAGTCTCTACGTCTCTCTTCTCTCTAGTTTACGACTTTTACTACTTTCCCCCTACCAATCTCTCTCTCTTTCTCTTTCTCACTCGCTTCGCCCTATTGCCCCAGCCCCTATCGCACGGCTTATGCAAAACCGCACCCACAGTGGGAGGGAAAAGTGGGAAAAGGGGATTACTTATCTTTTAGTTTTCATTTAAATATGAAGACCAAATTTGTACACACACGCAGTTCTATGTCTTTCTCTGTCTCTCCTCTCCTCTTTTTTTCTGGCTTTTTTTTTCACTGATTTTATTTAGCTTTTACTTTTTCCTGCCAGCAGTGAGAAAAGGAAGGGGGTTGTGGTAGTGGGACTCTAGTTTTATTTTTACGCAAAACTTCTTCCTTTTTTTCACTTGAGCAAGAGATAGCGACAGTGTGAGACAGAGTACGGGTGAGAGAGGAAGCGTCAGCGACAGATGGAGAGTGGATTTGTTTTTATTTTATGTTCCGTTTACCATTTCTTTTCCTTTTATTTTTGTCGCTGTTTTGGTTAGACAGAAATAATTGGACTTACACCCAAAACCAAGAATCAAGATAAAACAAGAGAAAGTTCACACACAAACGCAGAGAAAGAGAGAGAGAGTGAGAGCGAGATGTCGTCATTCGGTTGAAAGAATGAGGAAAAAGACGGAAGGGAAAGGGGCACCACAAAATGTAAGATATTCATAAGTGAAATTTTATTATTCAACTGGAAAATTGCGGAAAATGGAATGCGGGCGAAAGGTATTTCAAAAAGGGAAAGGGGAAAGAAGGGGGAAATAAACTTCTTATGAATGAAAATCCGTTTGTTTTCCTTTATTGAATTTAAGTTTTAAGCTTTGGAGAAGAATTCTCTGAAAGTAACGCAAATTCTGTAGTACCCAAAATATCCCAGTACACATCATCCCCCCCACCACCCAATGGTAATGTATGCATATCTATAGTACATAATTTGTTATCTAGATCCTTCACTCCGATGCTAGTTGCACCCACAAAAAAAAAAAAAACACGATACCCAGAAACCAATTTTATAATCCATTATTAATTTAAATATGAAAATAAACTAAATTTTGTAGCTCCGCAAACCGGCGTCGACACTGTCAATTCCTGGCTCGATGAAAACACCTTCCATTGCGAACCGGGAACAGATCTCATCTGGATGCAACGAAGAAGCGGCCGAGGCACTAGTGGGTATCCACTCAGACTACCCTAGGTATGAAATGTATGTATAGCCCGATCCAGAAACCCCATCGCAGATCCTAGAGTACCTAGAGTATGTATACACATATAAGCCTGCACTCATCCACCATCCTTGACGAACCATCAACGCTAGCGGGCAGTCTGCATGGCTACAAAACTAATGGGGGCGCGCAGCCCACACAGTTTAGTTGAATTCATTCGAGTTTGCATTCTAATTCACTCATTCATTTTGAAAGTAAAGGACTGCTTTGATGAATGCATTCATGCAGACATCCATACATAAACAAAGAACTCGAAATCCGCCATAGAGAAAAAACCTACTGAATGGTTGACGGATGGGAGGCGGATGGGAGGTCGATTAAAGAATGGTTATCCATTTAGATTGCGGTGCTTTAGCATGTACATATATGTACCGATACGGAGAAACAAATTAAAGTTTATCTTAAAGAGAAACCATTCCTATGCTCATAAGCATTTAATCATGTATGAATAGTATGTGTGCCTCAAGTGATTCGACGTTCATTTGGAAGCAGCATTTAACGATCACAAGTGCCATGTTGCAACATGCCGGTCAAAAGCGTTTTGACTCATAAAAAAACATCGTGTAAATGATCCCAACACTGATTGCTCGTTGCAGCTGCTCGTTTGTTATATATGCTTTCACATTTTGTATGCTTCTCCATGTCTATAAGGACTTTTGTCTCGAGAAAACGTTGGCTTCCGGAAGAAATAATAATAATAAAAATAATCCCCTTGGCAAGGTTATTAAAAGGAAAAAGCGGACAGTAGCGGAGCAGAGGAGAATCTCGTTTCAATTTTGAACACTCTAAAGTCAATTTCTCTTAGGAATCCCCCACTGTTCCGGTGTCCGGGCGTCCGGCGTCCGTCGTCCGTCGTCCGGCGTCCACTGTTTCCCATAAATCTCTATGAATGTCGTGGACGGAAAGATATTTTCCCAAGCAATCACGTTGGCAATTTGGCACAGTTCAGCAGTTTATGGAGAGACAAATGGTGGCAGGAGACGGGGGGTTTGGATGGCAGGAGGCGGACTACCGACTGCGGAATATGGCAATGACTATGGGCTTCGAGAACGAGGACAGCCTCCATTCTCTTGGCCACTGTGCTTCTCTCTCTGTGTCTGCGTGTGTGTGTGTTTCATTTGTCAGCTAAATTTTTATTGGCCATCTTTTTCTCATCCATATGTACGAGTACGAGTATGATTACGTGTATGTGCTTCCGTTTGCCCCTGTGCCCGTGTGCCCGTGTGCCCGTGTGTGTGTGCGTGAGTCAGTGTATCCATAAGATACAAATTGATATGACACATTTAGGCGAGAGCCAGAGCCAGAGAAATAGCCATAGCCACAGCGAAAACACACAAATCTGTCATTCAGAATGGCATTCAGGATTTATTAAGGTGCAGACCAGAGTTCGAGCGGAGCGAATTTCGATTGAGTTGGGTTGACTTAACCCCCCAGCACTCCAGGACTCCAGCACTCACCCAAACCCACAGCTCCTCCGCCTATCCACAGGGATACCTCTCAACGCAGTAGTCCTTGGAGCGAGCCACTTAAGCATTAGTCAGCGATCTGTGTGGACTATTCTCCCTCCCAAATGAAATGGTTTTGGGGGATACACTGTTATGCAAATACAAAGCCAACATCGATTCAGCGAAGGAGAAGTGGGGATTAATTAGGATGCTAAGATGTAGCCTTGGAAACCGATTGGAATGAAGAAATGGAACAAGATAAACGTGGCCAATATGGGAATGGAACAATTAAAGTGCGTAGAACCAAATGGAATAGGATAAAGGAGACGCTTTGTGACGCTTTTGAGGCAATGAAGTCTAACTAAGAGAATGTGATGGATGAGATTCATTTAGAAGTAGAGTAGGAACCACTCTCCCATAAGCAGCCCTAGAAAACCATCCCTGAGTAGACCTATAAACGAATAAGAAGAACTAATATCATTAGTGCTCTATAGATAAACCCATCCCATAGTCCCTTTAGTCCCAGTCCAAGCATCAAAAGCACTAGCGAATCGATCTATTGATAGTCGAATGAATGAGTAAATGGATGGGAGTGGATGTGGTTGGCGAGTGTATGCTTATATTTTGTGGACTAGAATCCAGAACTCATTCTACTCTTTCTACTTTCCCTCCCCCCCCCCCCGCCCCACCACTCGATCCAAACTCTTAGGTATATGGAAGAACGTGCTCTTACTGGCGGCAATACGTCCAGGAAGCCATCGACAAACTCGGCCAAACACAAACCCAATGTGGGCTATCGCCTGGGCAAGAGGAAAGCCCTCTTTGAGAAGCGCAAGCGCATCAGTGACTATGCCCTGGTCATGGGCATGTTCGGCATCATTGTGATGGTGATTGAGAACGAGCTGAGCAGTGCCGGTGTCTACACAAAGGTAATTACAAAAAAGATGCTCTGATGCTCATCCGACAACAAAATATTAAAAAAATATGTGTATATTTTTTGCTTATTTGCAGGCATCGTTCTACTCGACAGCGTTAAAAACCTTAATATCTGTTTCGACTGTGATTCTTTTAGGACTTATAGTAGCTTACCATGCTTTGGAAGTGCAGGTGAGAGTGAGTGAAACATTGTATTCTCTTTTCCAGATGTTATTTGATGTGTTCTTGCTGATGGTCGTCGTCATCGTTAACTATTTTTAACGTTGCCGTGCCGTCACTCTCGCTCTCACTGTCACTGTCATCTCTATATATAACCGATATACCCAGATATAGCCCATACCCTGCTATTCCCCAAAATCCCGCTCCATTCCAATGTTACCCGTTCCCACTGTCTCACCATCTCATCTTGGTTTCGTTTGTTTGTTCGTTCGATTGTTTGTTTGTTTGCTGTTTTTGAACATTTTCTTGTTTCTGGTTTTTGATTTCCGTTTCCCCTTGCTCCCCCCCTGTTTCCGTTTCCCGTTTGTGTGCTACCTTCCCCTCTTCCCGCATACTTTGGGCAAGTGAATGGGCGAGAGCGAGAGAGAGATATTTACTCCTGCATGCATGTACCGTTAGAGAACATCCAGAAGAGAAGTGGAGTGCGAGTGAGAGAGAGCGCGATTGCGAGAGTGAGAAGAACGAGTGAGAAAGAAAGCTACGTTTCCGTTTCCGCATTTTGTAACATCTTCCACACATACACCAACCTCCCCCCCCCCCCCCACCCACCACACCACCCATATCCTGTCAGCACCCTGGCTCCTTTTACCCCACACTCTTTCTCTTTCTTTCACCCAGCCCCCTCAATATTTCGTTTATATCTCGCTTCATTCCATCATTTCGCAGGCCATTTTTCAGTCATACTCGTACTTCCTTTTTGTTTTTCGAGAAACACCATGCCCAAAAAAACCCCCCTCCCTTACCACCTTCCTGTGGACCGTTCCATTGTTTCACTCACCGAAAAACCAACCACTCAACCCGTACCCCATTACAATGCCAGAAACCAGAAAATCAGCGCAGAAACATTGTACATACAGCTAAACCATTTATCATTCACCACAAAAAAAAAAAAAAACTCACCTTAACCACCACACCACTCTTTTCACCACAGTTCCACAATTTCCTTCTTCTTTTTTGGTCCACCCATGCGCTTTAATCTTTAATATTTATTCCATCGATTATCGAGTACCAGCGAAATCGAATACCAAGTTAAGCCGAACTTTTAGCGAATCAAATCGTTAGCTCTCGTATGTTTTTTGTGTGGTCCGGTCAATAAGCTTTCGGAAAATTCGGGAACGTTAGTTTTCCCTTGAGAAATCTAATCTAAATTTCAAATCTAAAGCTTCTATCAAATTAAATCTCGATCGCGATTATTGGCTGGCATTAAGTGTTTCGCTGCCATTACGTTTCATTTCATTCCTTTGGTTTTGCGATCGATAGAAAAACTTCTAGCCACAGCATTCCAGCATTCCATTCCAAAAATCGTTCGTTCTCGTACTCGTTTACCTCCAATATGCGCTTCCAGTACCAGTTGCATGTACAGCACCATAATTTGTTTAATTTTTGCTCTAAAAACTATAATAACCAATGATGAAATATGATCATAAATATATATATATATATATATATATATATATATATACTATATATACCGAATACATTCCACTTCTACTTCCTCTTCTTCTAATTAATTAATTAATTACTTATTGGTTTTGTGTTCAATTTTTCTCGTTTCGTTTAAAAACTAACTAACCGCAAAACAAAAACAAAACAAAATAAATAACAAAAGTATATGAAAACCAATAAATTATATTCTAGAAATGTGTTTACAATTAAATATCTAGTGTAGCATGAGTTAATTATCAACATATGCAGCATATATTCCATATATGTATATAGTTCCCATACCGATTTGTCCTCAATCTCAATGAAATCTCACATGAAAATTGTAGAAATCGGTATGGGAATTCTTCCTTGTTGAAATCTAGTTGAATTTTTTTCGTAGAAAGCATGGGAGCATATGAAAATTTGCCTAGTACATAACTCTATTGACTATCTCTGAACATGAACCGAAACATAAATATATATATATTTATATACAACTTACTACAATTACAACAATTATTATCTACTAGCATACATAAAGCTCTACCGATAATGACTCAAGATCACAATGAGAGCCGAAGAGAAGTGGAAGAAGATAACTAACCTTCTGAACATTTGTTAGCTTGTGTTGGAATCGAATTCTAAAAAAGTGATAATTAAAAACTCGAAAATTTTAAATGAAATCGGAATAACTGTGACTCTCTGTGGGGGCAAAGTCCTGTGTTCAGTTATCGAATTGGATTGGTAATTGATGTCGATGTCGATATTTACATATATATCGCTATCGGCAATCAGAAAATCAATCTCGCAATCGGATCGAAATCGAACCAGCAAAAGAAAAACCGCAAAACTCAACAACAACAACCCTCAACAACTTTCACAACGCATCCAACCATTTCCATGTCCATGATTCAATCAGTCAAAAGTCAGGTCATTCGAATCAATTGTTCAATCATCGATATCAGCGATCAGTTTGTCAGTCAACCAGTCAATCAATCAACCAACCAGTCAGTCAATCAGTTGAAATATACTCTCTCTTAATATACAAAAAAAAAAAAAAAAAAAAAAAACCAAGCCCCCAATCTCATAATTCGTATTCTTCACACAATTTGTTCTCTCTCTCTACCAAAATATATAACTCCGATTAAATGTTTATATATATATGTATAAACCCCCCTAAAAAATTAATGTTGATGTTTACAAGTAAAAATTTAATATGTAATTACCTTCCATTATGCTTTGCAGAATTCAGTAAGTAATACTTATTATAATATCTACCATACATACTTCAACTATTTGTGAGTAAATCCAAACAAACAATAAAAACCAAACAACAAATACCATGCATAGTGTTATGTACCATTAACGGAAGCAACCAAATACAAAAAAAAAAAAAACAACAAAAAAAAAAACAACAGAACATATGCCTAGAGTAGCTATAAAAATCATAGATCGTGCTTAGAGCAGACATACTCGAATATATGTATATCTATCTGTATATATGTATGCATATGTATCTCTCTGTGTACGTTTACGTGTACGTACGAGTAGTGCCAAACGGAAGACAAAAAAAAACAAGCAAGCTGCTGCAAAATCGATGTTTAGTTGAAATCGCGTTACATAAAAAATCGTTTGTATAGTGTAAAGTGTACAGTGTATATAAAATACTTATTCAAGACTCTACTCAATTTTTGATTTAATTTTTTATGTTTCGTTTTCCCGTCAAATACAATTATTACAAGCCACAAAAGCTACAGCTACAGATACAGCTACGAAACAGATACAGATACAGATACTACAAAAAAACACGCTGTTCAAGGCAACTGCTTGGCTGATACGAACAAATTGTGGCTTAAATTGCACCCCAGAAACTCACTCAACCACTGAACCACCTTCTCTCACACTAACCTCTCCTATTGGCATTGTCTGAACCCCCAGAGTGCCGCACACATGCAAACAGATTTGGTAGACTCTTAATACATATTTGAAAATTTCAAAAAACATTTTGCAGAAATATTCATTATTTATGAAGCAATTGTCGAGAGGATTTCTGTTTCCATTTAGAATGGGTGTATGAAATTTTCTCATCTTTTCTTAAGTGCTTCTCTTTCTTATTCAACTATTCTGGATTCTAAAATGATCCTTAAATCCTCTTAGGAGTCAGTCTCTGAGCCTAACTTTGAAAAATTTTGAATTTAAAATTTATTTGATACTTGGACTCAAAAAACTTTTCCAAATCTCAAGAGATATCCGTTTCAAACCGACGGCAAACGATAAAACTACTGAAGTCTGTTTTACGACAGTAAAAAACGAGTAAAAAAGACGCATTTTAAGCTAAAAAATTTATAAGCACATTTTGATGTTTGGAATACTTTTTAATCACTTTTTGAAAAAAAAAAAAGGTGTCAAGCTCAATGCAAGCGAAATGCATGAGCCTTGCGTGTCTTGGAGATCCTTGGATCCTTGAAGATTTTGTAATATGCACGGTCTGAAAGGGATAACAATAAGATTACATACCGTTCCCAAGCCGTTAGACACTTAATGGTCTTGAGTTCACAAAAGTTTGAACGCTTTCCAGATCCTATTTTTCTATTTAACTTTGAAAGAATTAACCAATCGGTTTGCATACATAATCCCACAATGCATACAACATACCAACATACCAACATACCAGCATACAAAATACATAACATACATACAAGCACATACAAATACATACATATGAGCATTCCCATTGCTAAGTCGATACTGAATTTTGCAATCAATCCAATCCAATCCAATCGATATGTGTATCTATCAAGCATCAATCCCCAATTCCATTCATCACCCAAAGTTTGAGTTTGGAAGAAGAATTCAACACAGGACTTTGTGACTGTTTAGCCAAAAGAGAAAGTGTTGTTTAGACCTAGTGGAGCTCTAAGATATCAGCAGATCGATGGGCGATGACCATGAACTCGATTCTCGATTCGATTCGATTAATTATTGAAATTATATTATCAATTACCGTGTATCCGAGTACCCAATCAGTCGGCTTAACTTGCGAATGCTTCATATGCAACCAGAATACAATAACCACACACCAATTATAACTCGAACTCAAAATCAAAATGCACTGAATGTTGTGCCCACTACTGATTCTGGCCACCCTGCCATGCATACACACATAGATGTTGTACATTCTTCGATTGTAATCTACTGTGTGTATACTCGCACATACATATATATTGTATAGCTGTGTAATTGAGCTGTGTGTTGTCCCATCTGCACTGCTCCTGCTCCTGCTCGTGTTTCGAATACTTACCAATAATGAGAGTGAGTCCTTAAAGGGGTACGTAGCAATGAGGAAGCTTCCCTGGCCCTGGCCCTGGCCCTGACTATGGTTCTGGTAGCCGCCCCCTTGTGTTGAGTCGTTAGGAAATGATTGGGTTCCGATACCAATTTGATTTGATAGCGAAAACCAAAACAGTAATATACGAATCCAAATCGAAATCGAAATCGTAATGAAAATGAAAAGGTAAAAAAGAAGAAAAAAACCAAGAATGAAATCGAGTGAAATGTGCTAATTACACGTGAACACGCACGCTGCTTTCTAGTAAGTACTTGCACCTTACACACACACACAGTTATATATATCCCCCACACACACACAAAAACACACACAGATATTCACATGGATAGAAGCAATGCCTGGATATGCCGCAAACATGAGAGACACGGAATCACGGAATTTCGAAGAAGCTTCTTACAGCCGCTTACAAAACTTGAACTTGACTCAGGGGTTTGCTTCCCACAAAGAATCACCGTCACCACCACTAGCAGCACTGACACAACCACCACGACACCCACCATTGACCACAACACACACACAAACACAAACACACATGCACAGCACACCCACACACCAAACACACACACACACACCATACACACACACCTCATGGACGTTGTACTTGTCAAATAATTCATGCTCGTATATTTGAGTGTAATTCATTTTGTTTAGTCGCAAAAAATATCGAACCGAATCAATAAATCTCCAATTATAATTAATAAATCATATACTTGTTCTCTTTTCCTTCTCTTCCTTCTTGTTTTTCTCTCCCTCCTTCTCTCTGTCACCGTCTGTCTGTACTTTTGGCCTCGGTTCGTTTTGGCACTCACCATGATGATGATGATGATGATGACAATAATGACTATATATGCGATGCGAAATGCAATCCAAAATGCACTCAAATTTAATCGAATTGCATATGAACCCAATCGAATCGAATCAAATCAAAATGCAAATGAATCGCAAATGAAATTGCCATCGGTCACAGTTATTCATGATAGATAACTGCGCCGACGATTGGAGGATCGCAATGACATGGCAACGAATTAGTCAAATAGGGTTAGAACTTTTTATATGCGCTATACATCCAATTCCTGGCGAATACTATTTCCAGTGGACGACGAAATTGGCCAATAAGAATAAAACAATTGGCACCGAAATGGTGCCATATGACGTAGCTTTATCATTACCTATGTTCCTTCGATTATATTTAATATGCCGCGTAATGCTGCTGCATTCAAAGCTATTCACAGACGCATCATCACGGAGCATCGGCGCTCTCAATAGGATTAACTTTAACACAAGGTATGTGACAGACAATCCTCCCACCCCACAAACACTATTGTACATATGTAAGTCTATTCAATTATTCAATGGGGAAGTACTAAACTGGCTTCAGCAATGGAAAAAAAAAAAGTAAAGCACACAATTAAAAGTAAAAAAAAAATGGGAAGCCGGTGACACTGCGGAATCACATACATATATACATATAGTATCTAGGCCAGTGAAAGCAGTGCAGCCAGGAATCTGTAAGGACAAATCACAATTTCATTGTAGTTTTTCCAAACATACCTCAGACGCTAACAATCTTAGTTTATAATCACAGAAAACGATCAATATCATCTGTACACAACATGAGAGGATATTTGTCTGAAACCATATTCCATGTCCGCTTTCCAACTCGTTAAGCACCTGTCTCTCAGTTGGTATTCTATTTGTCTGTTCAATTATATACAGCCTCCGTCTATCCAACTGTCTGTTAACCTTTCCATCCGTTTTGTTTGTCTGACCTTCAGTGTGTGTGTCCGTCCGCCAGTTCCATCCACCTGTTCATTTATCTGGCTGCCCCTCCTCGCTCTGGCTGTCCACGTATGTCCATCTGTCTGTGTGTGTGTGGGTGTGCTGTGGGGTCTAGCTGTCCATCCATCTTTACGGCTTTGTCTGTTTTGAAAATTAGGTCTCTAGCTCTACCCGGCTGTGCGCCAGTATGTCTGTCTGTCTGTCTTTTGGTCTATTAGTATATCTGCCTGACTGTCCATCACAATAAACAACTAGAAAGCGCAATGTCTTTAAAGCTTACGGGGAAAGGAGAGTTGCGGTTGCAATTAATAAAATTAAATTAATATTAATAAAATTTAATAAAAACTCTTTTTTTGTAATGATCCTTCGACTCTTGTAGATTCGTTTTAAAAACTCTAATGACAATATGCCCGGGAACGGTTCTATTGGTCTTCATGGTCTCCCTGTGGATCATCGCTTCGTGGACGCTACGTCAATGCGAAAGGTAATGGCCATGTTCTATTTAAATATATATACATTTATCTATATATATTATATATTCTTTACACATGATATTTACTTGTTCTGAATTTGAATTTGATTTCTTTATTATTTTGTATTTTATTATTTTGGATTGTATCTCAAATTTTGAGTTGAAATTTCGTTTCGTTTTGTGATCTTAATGGTGTATTGGTTTTCGGTTTTACGTTTTCTAAGTTTTTGCGTTTTCTTTACCCTATTAAACGTTATCCATTATCTTTTCTCCGTTTTTCTGTTACTCTGAATACCATTTCCGTTTAACGTTCTGATTCAATGTGTTTGCCACTAATACTATGACATAGCTATTATACGTATGTATTTAATATCGATGTATGTATGTACAAAAATGTATGTGCTAAGCATTGCGTAATGTCTTCTCCAAACAAACAAACAAACAAGAAACTCAACTCAATAAAACTCCAAACTCCAAAACTTAAATCTCTTTCACAAAGTTTTTTACTGTACAAAAATGTGTTTAAATTTGAAGCAAGAACTAAATATTCGTTTAACGTTGAAACTCTTTTGTATCCAATCAGTAAAATATTAACTCCCAGTGTTCAGTGTTCAGTTTTCAGTGAGGGGGTTGTTTGGTTACGCAGCCAAATAGTGGCCAAATGCATAGATTATAGCCAGTGGTGCAGCGTAGAGTAAATCCTTATTATTGTTGTTGTTTGCACTGCCCACTGTACTAAATTGTCATTTACCTACAAACTCATGCACGCATTCATGCTCCCTCACGGCAGCAGCCTAGCAGCCGTCTCTTTCGCCTCTTCATCCCACACCTTCTTTCTACGCCTTCGCTATTACTCTCTCGACTTTCGCCTCTCGCTCCAGGCGGGCATCGCCCGCCTGCCTTGAAAGCTTGACTTCAACACTGCGCACGCTTGGAACGAGCTATCAATCCGACACCGCTTGAACCGACCCCCGCGTCTCAATCTGACCCCGTCTTGAATCCAGCTAACTATCCTTCGACTCTGTATCGCTTATTTACTTCACCACAATAAACTGTGAATATATATATTGAACAATCATCGCCTTTTAATAGTATCCAATACAACGCTACTGAAGAAGCTCAGTAGCTCAACATTTGGTGACCCCAACGTGATATAAACATAAACTCTTTAAATTGTATCACAAAAAACATTTTCGTTGGATAAATTCGCTTTGAACCACGGTGTTCGGTTCATCGTTTGTGCACAAGCAACAGAAACGGTTCTCGCGTCATCTGCTTTGCGGTCTGCTTGCTTGCTGTTGTTTCGTTTCGGTTCGTGCTCTCAGTGTGCATGCCTTTGTTGTTGTCGGATGCACAAGTGCAGTGCGTTTCAAACTGTTAGCTCCGCTGTGTCTGTAAAACTGCGCTGTGTGTTTTTAAACGCTGCGACGATTGTACAGTCGTGTAAAACTGTTCGAGGTTGTTCACGGCTGTACCTCTACACTCTCTCAGTGACTCTAAGCCCAGCTTTTCTATTGAACATACACGATGGCTTCTAATAGCACCCCTTCGATCTCTCCCCTGTTCGTTGATTCGGAAGCTGCATTCTACAAGCGCAAGGTGCAATCCATGCTAGGGCGGCACGGAGAATCGAAACGGCCGTCGGCAGGAGAGGATTGGCGAGATCAGTGAGGAGGAGCTGAACGTGAGGCTGAAGTTGCTAGCGGATCTTGTAGCTTCATTCAACGAGCACCATAATGCCCTGGAGAAGATTGATCTCGATGAGATCGGTAGTCCCTTGAGGGATGAGTTTGACGAGTGCGTGGTCATGCTGGAGATTCGCATGAAGCGAGAGTTAAACAAGCGGCAGCCCACAATGCTACCATGTTCAACAATGCGGGCGGACCATGTAGAGAGGCCCCAACTACGGTCGTCGTGCAAGCGGCCACGCCTGCCGGAGTTGAAGCTACCTGAGTCGGTGGGGGCTACGCTCGTATTCCTCGTTTGGGGCATGTCCCTCCATTATAGATGGACCCTGACCTTACGAATGTCGAGAAGCTGCAGCATTTACGATCATGCCTAAAGGGACCAGCGCTGGACACGATCTCGTCGCTGGAATTAGCCACGCCAGCTATCCTATTGCTCTAGATTTACTCAGCAAACGATTTAATAACAAGCGTCTCATCTTTCAGGCACATGTCACAGACATTCTGAGCTTGCAGCGTGTCGAGGCCTCACTGTTTCCCAACTACGGTCCCTTCGGATACAGTTAATGCCAATCTGCGAGCTTTACAAAGTATGGGGACAAAGGAGCAGATTGCTGACTGCATCTTAATACACAGCCTACTGCATCTCAATACACAGCCTGCTGCTGAAGGTGGACAGTGCCACACAAACCAAGTGGGAGGAATGCTCGTCGTTGGATAGCATACCCGCCAGCCAGGAATTCGCCACGTTTCTGGAGCAGAGGTGCCAGGGGTTAAAAACCCAAGAGCACGCAAATGATATGTACACCCAGAGCAGTCGGAATCCCTGGCAAGCAGCTCCAAGGTCTGTACATTCTGCGGTGATCCAGACACTCAATTTATGCGTGTTCGCAATTTGGGAATCTGTCCGCTCAACTTCGGCTTCAGGAAACTAAGAAACAGTCACTGTGCACCAACTGTCTCAAGGCAGGCCACATGCAGGGTGCATATCATTCTCGATCCTGCCGAATATGTGGAGCTAGACATCACACTCTACTTCATTTCGAGTCTCCGTCTTACGGTTCTCAATCCATTCTGCCTTCACTGTCACATTCTTCATCGGCTCCGCAATTGCCCGCGGGACCCTCTGGCTTTGTACATACTGCAACAGCGTCAGAAACATCGCTTTTGGCCTAGAGTCACAGGCAGGACATCGTTCTTCTTGCCACTGCCATAATCAGCGTAAGGAATCGCTCTGGTACACTCATTCCATGCCGTGCCTTGCTTGATTCTGGATCGCAGGTGCATCTCATTACTTCTCGCCTGGCTCAGCAGTTGCAGCTTCAAAGGAAAGTGTCGGATGTTTTGGTGTCTGGTCTCGGCGAGTCGCGTGCCACATCGGAAGGATGCTGCGTAGATATCAACCTGGAATCACGCACCTCAAGTTATGCCACGACCATTTCGGCAGTAGTTGCTCCCACCATTACGTCCAGTCAACCTAACTGCAATATCGACCTAAACAGCTGGAACATTCCCTGCAACACACAGTTAGCGGATCCCAAGTTCTACAAGTCTCAACCTGTGGACATTCTTATTGGAGCGGGACTGTTCTTTGAGCTTCTCTGCATTGGCCAAATCCAATTGGGAGCTGGTCTGCCACGTCTTCAGGAAACCAGGCTAGGATGGATAATTGCAGGAGAGGTGTCTCAGTCTCGCGCATCAGATCCACGTTCTCCTGTGTTATTTTCAGTTAACCAGTATAAAGTGCCCCCTCGCACGAGTATTGGACCTCTTCGTCGAGTCAGGCATGGTTTCCGGAGTGGCTATACTAAAGACGTCACCTGGATCAACAAAGGAAATGTGGCTGCCAAAGAAGGATGTTAAAGACCCGTGATCTTCAACGGGGGAGTATGTTTGGTTACGCAGCCAAATAGTGGCCAAATGCATAGATTATAGCCAGTGGTGCAGCAGTAGAGTAAATCCTTATTATTGTTCGTTGTTTGCACTGCCCACTGTACTAAATTGTCATTTACCTACAAACTCATGCACGCATTCATGCTCCCTCACGGCAGCAGCCTATGCAGCCGTTCTCTTCGCCTCTTCATCCCACACCTTTCTTTCTATCGCCTTTCGCTATTACTCTCTCGATCTTTCGCTCTCTCGCTCGCATTAGGCACGGGCAATTCGCCCGCCTGCCCTTTGAATTAGTCTTGATCTTGCAATCACTGCGCATCGTCTTGGAATCGAGCTATTCAATCCGACACCGTCTTGAACCGACCCCCGCGTCTTCAATCTGACCCCGTCTTGAATCCAGCTAACTATCCTTTCGACTCTGTATCGCTTATTTACTTCACCACAATAAACTGTGAATATATATATTGAACAATCATCGCCTTTTTAATAGTATCGCAATACAACGCTACTGAAGAAGCTCAGTAGCTCAACAGGGGTGTTGGGGGATTGGGGGACTTAAGCACAGCCACAGCTTGCAACACTCCCACACACAAACAGTACACGAGTATCCCCCATATATATATATATATTTTTTTTTTGCTTGTTTCATACAAGATTCAGAACACACAAAAATCGAAACAGCAGACACAAAACGCAAAAACACCAAAACAGTACCCTAAGAACCGAGCTCGAATGCGAATGCAACTCTGTAGCATCTGTTGTAACGGTATACAATACAATCGAATGGCAATTGTCAGTGTCACGTAGCGACCAAACGAAATGGATAATGCTTGCATGCGTTTCAATTTATTTACATTTGGCATTCGAGTTCGCTTGTTTTTCTGCACTTCCACTTCCTCCCATCCATTTGCCATTTACCATTTACCACTTCCCTATCCTTCCGTCTGACTGACTGTTCTGACTGTCTGCCACACCAGCAACACCAACCTTTCCCTTCCGACAGTGATTCTCCAGATTGTTTTGTTATACCCTTGCACCAGAGGGTCAAGTAAATTTGTCCGCAGCCAAAGACATATCCGAACCGTTACAAAATATAAATATAAGCATATTGGATCCTGCATCCACAGTGGAGCTGCATCCCTGGTCATTCCCATCTATGAGATTTAATTTGCTTTGCAAGAGTATTCAAAAGCTTTTACGAAGTACGAATTTTGTGTGAATTTGTTTTCCTGCTTGCACATATTTTCCCCCATTTCATCCACTCTCTCCCGCCATTTTACTCTGTTCTTTGTTATGTTGTGCGTGCCTGCAAAATTGACAGCATACAATTTATCGATACATTCATATACATATATATCGAACAAAGTTGATTACACTCTTGCACTTATTCGCTAGGGGTGGAGGGGGGATTGGGATGGACAGAAAGTCAGAATA